AACACCATATTAGCAATTTTCTTATCTATATTAATAACATCTCTACTCTTGGTATAACAACTTATATCTGTCTCTAACAACTTCAAAATAATCTCTAGTCTACTACTAATATTCTCTAACATCTCTATTCTATTATCAACAGTTTAAATAAATTTTCTACAATCTTTAAAATTATACAACTTTTTATTTACTTACATATTTCTATATATTCTTATCTTGATACTTTCTGGCCCAAAACTATAAATAATAATAATACTTTACTTGAAAAATTCTCTCCAACTACCCCAAATACACACATTTAAACAACAACTTTGACACAAAAATATTTTCTATCTTGAACAACTTTGTTCATTTGACAACAAGATTGGTTACACCTATCTTCTAAACTTCTATATATTTCTAAAGTGAAAAAACTACTTTGGTTTATCTATTTAGAAGATACTATTCTCAATAACAAACTATATCAAACTATTTTAACTAACTTCCAACCTACTGGCATTAACTTATTTGCTTTTCAAACTAACTTACTTTACAAAACTCACAACTCTAGATTTTTATATACCTCAATAAAGACATTATTATTAGCCAAGTTTGCAAAACTTTTTTCCAAACCAACACTATTTCAATAACACATTGGCAATACAATATTGATACTTCAACCTTATATTACTATCTATTATCTTCTATCTCTTGCACTTCTTGTCAAGGTTGTAGTCTTAACTCTAGCTGCATATCAAGCTATTGTACTTTAGAAGATTATCCATTCTTTTGACCCAATTTTTGTGCAAGAAAAAAGCCAACAAACAGCTCAACTTCAATGCTAACTATATAGATCTTATCTGCTCTGCTAATATTAAACACCTCTTTTACATATTACTTTTACCTACTATTAACATTACTGATTTTATTATTTTAGTTATCTTTTACAACAATGATGCCTCTCTACAACTTGCTTAGTTTGCCTCTGCTAACTTATTCCAAAACCAATTTACCTTCTATATAGATGGTTCAGTTAAGCAACCTGGCACTAATCAATACTCAATAGATATTGGCTAGATTCAAGTTTATAACAACCACATTATTCACAATTTCTTTGTGCAAATTTCTAACTGGCCCTCTTCTTACAAGGCTAAACTACTAGCAATACTATCTGCTATTTTAACACCTCAAAATTCTAATATTGAAATATTTGCAGATTTACAATCTATTATCTCTAAATATAACATACTTCTATCTATATTATCACATTTCTCTAAATATTTAAATTCAACTCTTGGCCTATCTGGTACACACTTTTTAATATCCTAAAAGCCTTTAATATACAAATCTCCTTTTATAAAGTTCAAGCATATTCTAATAACATCTTTAATAATCTTGTAGACTTACTTGCTAACAACTACTTCTTCTCTCCAATTTTATATATTAACTATACTAATTCTTATAACATATATTCCAATTACTATAGAAAGAATATTTTGTTAAAATCCCTACTAGACAATTTATTAAAACAATTTACAAAGCACACACTTTTGCTCTATAGTCTTTTTAATATTGTACTCAAGAATAGTTACTTTTCTCTTACCTTATTGACTAAAAAGTTTTTTGGTTATACTTCAACAACAACCAAAAAATCTTACACAACTTTACTAATCCCAAGCTAAACTACTTAAAAGCTTTCAAAATTAAATTGCTTCTTAATATACTACCAATATATGCATACTTCTATTCTATATACTCTCTTACTTTTACACTTGATAACTGCTTTTCTTGTAACTGTTTAGACACTCCTTCTTACTAGTATACTTGTCCTGACAATACTCTTCTAACTCAAACTATCAACTCCTTAATAAATAATATTATTCTTAACTCTAACCTCAATTATTCTACATATTAACTTCACAACCTCATATATACTATCTCTTTATATTCTTTTTTTAATTCTTCATCTCTTTATCCTTATTCTCTTTAAGCTACACTCAAAGGTTTTATACTAATACCACTAATCCAGATCCTAAACTCTTTTGATATTTTATACTCTAATGCTTCTCAACTTATTATACAAATACTTTTCAAAATCTCTAACTAATTATATTACAAAATATGGATTTCTTACTGTATTAACTTTTCTTATTAGAAAAAAGTATATCAAATTCTTTCTCATCCTACTTCTAATACAATATCTAATTAATATGTATTTTCTCTACACAAAAGAAACAAAACCAAATATACTTATAATTGCCTTTGTGGCCTTGCTAACCAACTACATAGACAAGTATCTACCAAACTTAATATCTGGTTTACTATATGGATTAGATATAGCACATTCTCTAACAATATTTTAACTATTTACATCTAGGTAAGTCTTAACTACTCTAGTAGGTTTAGGTTACAAATAATTAGTTTAAGCTTTTGTTTGAGCTATTAGTCTGAGCTCTTATTCTTGTATATAATTTATATTTAATTGTTCTTATACAAATTAAGTTTTTGTATCTATATAATTGTTTATATAAATTAATCAATAAAAATATAAGCAAGACCTCATCCTAATACCAAAAAAAAAATATACATCTATAAATACTTTAATAAATATCTGTAAATTATTAGCTTGTATATATATATTTATTATTAGAGATTTTAAAATACCTATCTATTATATAATTTATAATATGTTTTTTTTTTAATAAATAATTAGTAAGTATAAACTTTATTATATTTGTTTAGGATTTTTATTTGTAATTTTTAAATAAAATATATATAATAACATATATTTTAACAAAATAAATTTAAATTATTAGTAAATAAATATAAATCTGATATATAATTACTAGATATATAATTTGATTTTTTTTCAGTATTAAGATAACCTCTTTGGCCATAGGGGCTCTTTATTAGTAATTATTTACTATTATAGTTACAATGAAGATACAACTAGCTATACTGTATATATACTTTTTATCTATTTAAGTAGTCTGCTTACAGATTCTATACTAGATACTGTACCTATAACCCAACTAAAGAGTTATCTATTTAAACCTTCTAATTCTAACTATTTTAAGCATATTATACTAACTCAAAAACTACTATCTAGTCTGTTTTACTAGATTGTGCATTTTGCTTTAGAATTTCTGTAACTTATCTTAGGTTTGCACTGACTAATTACCAGTTTGTGTTTTTCTGTTGAGTAAACACATAGCTATTTTTGAGGTAAATCTACCAGAGCCTTTCATAACTCTATCTGGCTAATTTAGTTATTGCAGATACTAAGGCTTCTACTTGCAGTTAGAAGTAATCTAATTAAACTACTATACTTTTGTAAGATTCACTTCAATCCTAGTACTCACATTCAAGTCTTCTTTTTTCTTACTATCTTATTGGTTTCTCTTATACTCCCAACCTGTGACTCAGAAGATTTAACACTGGCTAGGCCTAGATGCTTTATACTCTATCTCTTTGTAATATATAATTTTATAGCACATGTTTTTTTTCTCTAATTGGGTCTAGCTAGTCTTTAGAGATCATTTAGTTCTTGTTGTTAGATAAAATCTAACTTCTAAATTCTAATCATAGTAGATAGCTACTCCAGTTTTCACACTGACTAACTAGGTTAGTATACTAGCTTACTCTCTAATTGGCAGTTGGGTTGGTAAATCTCCTACTTAAAAATCTTGTTGTCATTCAGTTTTTCAATCTCAGCTATTATTTCCAAATTCAGTTTTTCTGTAGCACTGTCAAAAAAATCTATTATCTTCTTACTTGGGTCTTCTCAAATAGGTTTTGATTATTCTAGTTTTTTGGTATTTCTGTATAAAGCTTCTATAACAAGATAGTATAACTAAGATTACAGATTGTAGATACTAATCAATAGATAATTATTATCTAATACAGATTTATTTTTTAAAAAACATTATTTATAGATTTTAAACTCTAAACCTGCTACTTGGAGAGATGACAACTAGACCACTTTACTAAGCTGCTACACTCTAAATATATAATTTGATAATTTTTAAATTATATATTTTTATTTAATAATATATTACAGAAATGTTTAAATATAATTGCTTTATAATAAGTTTTTCCAAACAATTGATATTTATTAGTCAATTATTAGTAATTAGTAAGTTATCAAATATAGTAGCAAAGTATCTAATAATATACTTTGCAAATAATTTGTAGTATGTTGAAAGTTACTAGTATTTTTGTATAATACTATTTAAAATTTTTAATTATATGTTTTTTATATTTGCAAAATAAATTTAATTATTGAAAATAGATATTTAAAATTATAGACTTAAAAAAAATTTTAACAATTCTGATAAATTTACATATTCTTATAAACTTATTAATTATAGAATTTAAAAAAAATTGTATTTTATTTGAATTTTATATGCCAAGAAAAAAGAAATATTTGTTTTTATTAATTATTTATCTAATAATTAACAGCACATCAGAGTTTCAATAATAATAAACTAATTACTAAAATTTTTAAAATCGCTATTTTAGTGAAAGCCTAATATGTTATTAATTATCAGATAGATAATCAATAAAACAAATAGTTCCTTTTTTCTTGGTATATTTTAAAATTTAAATAAAAAATATTCTTATCAGAAATTGTCAAAATATTTTTTAAGTTGCAAAATTTTTATTAATTTTTTAGTTTTTAAAAATGCTTTAGATGTTTTACATATTAAATTTTCTAAAGATTTAAATCTAATCAGATTAAAAAAATATTTATTTAAGTTTTATAAATATAGTAATATAATTATTTGTTTTTAATCTAAAGTATATTAATAAAAAAAATAATAAAATAGTAACACTTTAGTTATAAATTTATAACAAATAACAAATCTCAATTAAGCTTTAACAATTGTAACTTCTTAATTATGCAACTGTTTAGAGATTTTTTAATTACTATATTTGAAATATTATATTATAAAATAAAGTTAAGCTACAATCTTTTACTTGGTATAACATTCTAAAAATATATTTATTCGAATATAAAACTATAAATTTCTATTTTTATTTTTAAGTAATAGAATATTATTTTGTTTATTTTGATTCATACTGATACCAAGTATTTTAGATATAATTCTATAACATAATTTAACCTTTTTTGCAGTTTTATTTGTACTTTTCTTTTCTATATATTTATCAAGTTCTTAAGTATAATTATACAATATATTTAGTTCATTAGTAATTTTAAATATTAAATGAAAAAAGTAATTTATTATATTATTAGTATTGGATAATAATGAAAATTTATTTGTCAATTTACTTTTATATTTATTATTATTGTTTTTTTTGAACATTTTTTATTAATTTTTTTTGATAAGAATATATATTAAAGGTAACCAATTTATAAACAGTATAATCAGAGTTGTATATAGATTATTGAAATTTAGAGTAGTTAAAATTTATTAATATAGATTTAATACCAGCATATAGTTTATTACTAAGATTATTTATATAAATCCTATCAAATTTGTTGCTTTTTAATTTTAGTTAAGTTTGAATATATTTTTATTATACAAATCAAAAATAATTGTAAATTTTTGTAATTTATTAATAAATATCTTAGGTTATTTTTTTTTTTTTAATATTAAGGATAAGACCTTGCTTTTATCTTTATTAAATTTAATAAAAATTTTTTACATAATTGAGAAAAAGTTTTGTTGTTTAAATCTAAAACTAAGAAAAAGAACTTATATATATATTTAAATAAACTTAAATATCTAAATACTTATCTGTGGTCTAAACCTACTAGAGTGACCAAGACTTATCTAGATTTGGAGATAAGTAAGAATAAGAAAGAGGTGTGAAGAAAATTTAATTCAATTAGAGTACCAAGTTTTTACTTTACAAGAGGAGTTATATATAAGTAAATTAAAAGAGTTTTTGGATAAAGATATCAAGTTAGAAGTAGGTATAGTAGGATTAGTATAGTAGTATTACTATTACTAGTTAGAGCAAGATTAAATTAAGATCTTGAAGTGCAGAATGGGATCCAAATATTTGTATAGATTTGTTAATTAAAATAAAGAAGGAATTGAATAGTAAAAAAACAAGCAAAATTATTAGAAAGTGTATATTCTCATAATATTTTATAATATCAAGTAAGACAAGGCCAGAAACTGTAAAGAATAGTGATATTAAAAGGTAAGAAAATATATTTGTAGACTATTAAGATTTTTGATTTAGCTAAGAAGTTGATGTGTTTGGGTTTGTGAAATTTGAAGTTTGGTAGGGGTTAAGATACATTGTAGAGAGATGTTAAGGAAATTTAATATTATATTAGAATAAGAACAAAATGCCCAATACAATGCATCAATAGGTTGTTGATAGATATTGCAAAAGTTGGGATAGGAAGAATATTTTTTATGAAAAATATGTAGGAATAGAAGATTATCAAGTAATAGTTTAATTCTAAAAGTTTTAAGTGTCAATGATTAAAAGCTATATGCAAAGTTTGAAATTTTTTAGTTATTATTAAGATAAAGCCAGATAGTTTTCTAATGAATATCCTGAGAGAGAGAAGACCATTGTTTAAAATGATGTTGTGAGGACTATTGTGCAAGGATATTTGCATAGCAGATAGTTCAAATGCTACAGTAAACAGAAAGCTCAGAAAGAAAGTTATTAAGAAGAGGGATAAGTTGGGCATTATACATATTACAAGAGTTAAAAATAAAGGTTGGTGTATAGAAGTGGTTACGAGCTAGTTTGTCAGCTTTATTATTAAATTCATTGTTTTGATATGCTAGAACTTTGTAAAAAGTAATTGAAAGATTAAATGATAAAAAAAGATTTAGAAGAGTTTTCCAGATAGACCAGTATGAGGTATTTGAAAAGATTGCACTATTATAGAATATAAAAGGCTATTATGTCTTGAGATAACTGATTGAGAATTAGTGTTGATATAAATAATAGTTCAGCCTTAAAGGAGCAGAGCCAGAGTTCGATTTGGGCTTGAAAGTTATATTGTATTGTTTGATTATTTATTTGTAGCCAGCCAATACCTATAGAGTATTGGGGTTGTCTATATTTGTAACAGAGCTGTCAGTATAAAAAGTAAAGTTATTTAGATTGCTATTTTGGGTAGCAATATGTTGTAATGTGTCAAGAGCAGAACTAGGTTGAAAAATTGAAGATATTTGAGAAGTTAAAATATTAAGACTTGGTAATAAATGAGAAGAACTAGGGTTTGAAAATATGATTAAATATAGAATTAACTTAATTATAATTATATATAGTGTGTTTTAAATATATAAGCAAAATCTGTATCAGAATTTTTATAGTAGCCCATAATAGAATTTACTATAATTTCAATACAAATTAATACAATCTTAACTATATACTGTGTATATCAATATTAAGTAAATTATATAACTAAGTTTTTTTTTTTTTTTTTTTTTTTTTTTTTAATATTAAGGTGACTACTTAGGTTCCCAGAGCATAGCGAGCTTTCATTCTGATTGGTCAATTGCTAAATGTATCATCACATATTACACCACATATATCATCTGACTTTAAACGAATTGGCAGCCATGAAAACGAATTGTCCAAGGATACGACATATAAATTCTGAAACTATACCTTTTATTCTACCTACAGTAAAAATAATCCGGAGAATAAGGAAATAATCCAGAAGTTAGCAACGGGGTGCACTTTTTGTTTTATAGGTTAAGGTAATTCAGCAATTAGCAAGGTAATTCTACCCTTGGCTAATAAGTATTAGTATTAAGCTTTTTTTTTAAAAAAAAAAACTTGAAAATAGCAATTTAAACAACAATACTTACAGTTAGTTTTTTTTAAATTTTTTTTTTTGAATATAGGTAAATCAACTCAGTTTTTAAAGGTTACAACATATAGATATAGAGCATATAGAGTATATAGAGCATGTGAGGGATATGTACGATTATATGCTATGTTCTATAGTTAATATTTGGTTTTTTATACTGTTCATACTCTCCATGTGCGTGTATTACCTTATTGATAGTTGACGGTTTTTTAATTTATTT